TAATTTGTAAATATCGATTTATATGCATCTATGCTTGACAATATTCTATATTTCTCAGAAGTTCGTTGAAGGTTTAACGTCTGAAGAAGCTACAATTTGGCGAAACAATGTTGTCAAGTAGGTTTAATAAGGACTGAAATTGATAAATTACTTTTTATGTTCTAACTTAATCAATAAAAAGAGTAGGTAAATGTGTGTATAACAAGTGGGTGTTATCGAAAGAAAGAAGTAAAAGCCAAGCAAAAATACAATAAAAAATAATTATTCGCTGTTTCACTTGCGTGAAAATGAATTTGTTACAATTCGGCTGGTGATAATTTTATATAAAAAATTACTATAATGCATTTGAGTATTTAGAACGTCGTGTTTTAAAAGCTACGACAAGCACAGCATTGTGCTTGCAACCACGGAACAAAGGTTTCGAGTAGAGTGAGTGAGCATTCGGAGAAGAAAGGATAGCAAATAATACGCTCGAAATAATTCTCAATATTTCTGACCTAATCCTAAATAGTTTTCAAAATTATCTACAGCCAAGCAAATATTCAGTACCTGCAGCAAATATTATACAGTAATGACCAAGACATGAAATTTTGAACAGAATAGACTACAACTTAAGGGTGAATTGATTATTAAGTTGGCAATTGACTGATTGCATATAGGCATAACAAATTAAGTTTTTTGATCATATAAAATTTCTGCAATATATTTTTTTCAAAAACTGGCATGTTGTGAAACAGCATTTTATATAAGTATGGTACAAATAGTGTATTACACACTAATGGAAAAAAGTAAGGTGTTTATTGATTTTTTCCGGTTGATTTAGGCGGGTGGGGGTGGCGTACTCTTGCCCCTAAAGTACGATTGTACCTAATTTCGGCGACGAGAAAGTGCAATGTAACGTCCTAGGTAAACAATTGTTGAAAACCACTTTGATAAATCTTAAATTTCTTACCAGGGATGGCATGTTTTCGCCTTGAAATCAGGGATAACATCGTACTTTCGTTGAGTATGATAATATAAAAATTCTTCCCCCCTTCTGAACATTCCTTCCCTAGTAAGAAACCACATTTATCTCCTTCTTAATAGGAAAATACTTTCTCAATAAACAGGAAATACAATTGACTTTGGTGCCGACAGTTCACACCTAGGAGGAAATTCTGTGCTTTCTTCGTTTGTTATACAGCATAGGTAGGTACTTATATTTTCTAATAAATTGTTATAAAGTCGGGTGTATATTGAAGAATAAACCAGTTGTACCTGACTTTTCGCAATTGCTATTGTATTGTTTCATTAAGAAAGTGTCTCACAAAAATGCACCGTTGCAACCTGAATTATTATTATTACAATAATAAAAATAGTGCTAATTAAAAAGAAAATAATACTCTAATGATAGAAAGTTCCAAAAGAAAAGAATTTAGTGCAATTACCGATTATGAATTCCTCACTTATTACTTTTTGTTGGCATTTTAATCAGAAATTCTACGAGACAAAGCAAAGTAGCTGTTTAGACTTTTATGAGTTATAGGGTTGTCAGTGGCTACTTTATCATCTACCTTCCGCGGTGGTATCGAATGACCGCATTTGTCAAGACAACGGGGGGTTACGGCTACCGCCAGTGACCACTGTCTCACGCTCTGCATGTGTGTAGATTTTCATATCTCACTGTATATACGTAGCTTGAACGTGTTAAATTAAATGTGTATTTTATAAACTACTACAGCGTATATACAGCCGATTACCAAGAAAATGAAACGTTATATGACCCTTGCGAAGTGCCAGTTCATCAGAATTACAAATTTTGTAACGCACAAAGCGAAAATAGCTTTTTCAATAATAAACGCCCTATGATTTTTAGAGACATTTTTACTGATTAACTATATGCTTAATCTGTAGCAAATTAGGTGGTCAATTCGATACTAAAAAAAAAAACAATTGGAATAGGAGAAAAAAATTATTCGATGCGATAGTCAATGAGTGATATTTTACGAAGTTAAAATTTAGGGGCGGAAGGAAAAATAAGTTAAAAATATACACAAAAAGTACACGAAGAAAATGAAAAAGGAAAATTTACCTAAATATTTAAGTGATATTTCCATTTATCGTACTAGCCCGTTGCTTCGTAAGCGAAAATAATAAAAATTACAATTTGGACCCAAACTTGTAAAAATTAAATCCCAGCAGAAATAAATTTACTAGGTATTTTAGTTGATATTACAAACTAAATTTTAATAATTAAGAAATTTGAAATAATTTTTATAAAAACACGTCANCTAATAAATTCTATTATTTCTACGGAAAATTCAATCATTTACTTTCGAAAATTGTAATTTTTACGTAGTCATAAAAATTTAGTTTTCTCCGTGTGTATAAAATAGGTATTTCGATAAGACAGGAACAGCAGTTTATGTTATTTGAAATTTTTTTACATATATTGGGTTATTGTGATGAAAGTTATTAGGATTGGGACGAGTGTAGTGACATGATAAGTGAAAGCGGAAATAGATTGAAAAATATATGTGAAAAAAAAATCTAGTAATTAACTTGATAAAATATAGATAATAAATGATTTCTGAACCTTAAAGGTAGCTAATTTTGCGAACATACTATGAAAATAAAATTACATTATTAGAAATCAATTACCGATAATAATAATGAATAAAAACGAACGAATACTTTTGCTCACAAATTGCGATCAGTTACCCCTATTTAAAAGCAGTAAAAGAGTTACATAACAAGATTCCCTCTGGGAGCATCATCGCGTGTTTCAAATCACGAAAGAACCGAGTCAAAAGTTGTCCCTCCTCCAAGATCGGTAATGATTATCATTATTAGACGAAACACACTAGCTCCGCCGCCCTAATTAGGGTCGAAGTATTCATCCCTCTATTGAAACTATTTCGCTTTCTATTATTATCATTATAATAATTAAAACGGGCCAACTGTATCCCGGACAGTTTTAATTTTGAGGGAGGTGTCGCATGAACTGAACAAAAAAAATCGATAATATTAGTGTGGACTCCTCGTACTATGTGTACAAACTTCTACTTAACCAAAGTACCACTGCCGCGTAACGGGTAAATTTTTGGTTTTAAGTAAAAGTCCCTCAGTCCTAATGACAGTGTTTATACGAAGAAAACGTGTTCCGCAAAACAAAATTGGGGATTGTCCTTCTGTTGCAAACGTGACCGTAAAAAAATGTGCGTGGCACAGTGGAAAACGTCGAAAATTACGAGTTGCAGTAGAAGGCATTGATTTTAGAAAATTATTCACACACAAACGTGTCACTTAACTACCTCTGTTTTACCTATAAACCGTTAATTAAGTGGAAAAAAAGGTACTGAAATGCATGTATGTATGTAACTGCACAGTGATCAAAATCTACCAGCATATATGCACCTAATTCTTTAAATTATATAGCGTTGCTTCTCCAGACATGCTGAGCAAATTAGATTTTTTAAATGTAGTACCTGCTTAATGAAAAACAAGCACAGAGCTATAAAAATACTGATTTAAAGTTATTTCCATCTAAATTATTTTCAGAAAATTAATAATAATTTGAGATGCATATGTAGATTTAAACAATATTTTATTTATTATATGACTTCCTGTGCTCATGATAGGAAAGAGTGGAGGTGCGTGCCCAACCAGTCTTAGGACTGACAACCTTATGATGATGATAACATCGAAATTACTAAATCGAACAAGAACTAACCATTGCCTCAAACAAAAAAATATGTAGGTACCCTCACACACATCAAATATTCAATATTTTTCCTCAAAAGTACACCTGGTAACAGAAACTTGCTATTTTTACCTTACAATGGTTATTTTAATACTAAAGAAGTTATAAACAAAAGAGATAGCTGCAGTTGATGTACTATACTCATTACCTAATTAATTGCTTATTGCAAAGAAAACTATGTAATTTTCAAATATAAAACATATTGGCATAAAAATAAACAGGCAAGTACAAGTATGTAAAACGCAAATAAACAATTTCCTTTCGTTAAAAAACCACGTAAAAGAGCACTAATACCAAGTGAAGAAAAGTACAACAAAAAACAAATCAAACAAAAACTCACCGATCAGTGAGTTGATCTCTGATCGAAGCGTTGAATCAGGATCGATGAAGAAAATTGGAAGAGATTGGTTGTTGCATCGATTGATTGTGAGAGGACTATACATTTTTCCTGGAGCAAGAAAAATTACAACATTTATAGTTGTTATTTGTTAATATTAGATTGAAACAACGAAAAGAAGAATATTCAAGTAGGTATTGTACATATTGAGTAAATCCCTCAATGCCTACAATTTTTGTTGTTTATTTGCAGTTTAAAATAACACCTACCCTAAACAACTTAGAACACAATAAAATATTGTCTTTAATAAAAAAATTAAACTAAATATATATCCACATCCACAATACTAAAAAAAGGTACCAATTTTTGTTAATTAAAAACATTATCTTCCTGTTTCACTTTATCTTATAAATTAATAACAAATACCTACTTTACTTTTAAAAGGTTATACGTATTTATAAAATCATCAACAGGCCTTACCTGTTGATTAATAATTTATTTGTTACTTTGACGACGGTCTAGTCAAATATCAATAAACCGAAGTAAATAATGCAATGTATACATATAATACACTTCGTTTTAGCAGGGCGAAACAAAAATTACACTAATTATTTTTTATTTAAATGAATTTCAATATAATTTGCCAAACGAGCGGGAATGCTAGTAGATCTCGATAACGTACCTGCAACCTAACACAGATTAGGAAAATGATTCGATTCACCTAACGTACTCGAGTGGAAAATTTTACACACGTGAAAACTAAATGTCAAAAGAAAATTTCTGTAGGCAAAATAGAAATATTGAAGTAAACTGTAATAAATACATTTAATTTAGTAGTTGTTATTGTTTTGTAATATTATAGTAGAATATTAAAAACGGTAACATTTTTAAATAAACAGCGCATACAAAATTATTACCTACATGAAAACTGTTGATCATTTCTGCAACCCCTTCTAAAGTTACAGGGTGACTTTATTAACCTCCCCGTCCTTTCTATTCAAAAAATAGCGGAGAAATGTGCTGTGCAAAACCACTGTTATCACGTCGTCACAGTTTCTCGAAAATTCTTTGTCCATTTAGAAAAACGATTCCGATTCAAACACAAACGATATAACACTATTAATTTGTCAACGAAACTAACTGTTTACGTAAATATTGTCCAATATTGCAATTAGTAATTAACACTAATAAGCCTTTTGCTTATAACAACGATATTAATTCGTCCACTCGCGTTCCTACATAGTGACGTGATTGATATCAAACCGAATGTGACCGAAGTGTCAAGGATTATTATTATCTAATAACTGTGTCTTTTTTTGCTATAGATAATATAATCGATTAAAATGTTACGTTTTAAAAATACATGTAGGTATGTATAGAAAATTAATTGTTTGGATATAATTGATGGTTTGGAGAGGCATTTTATAAGCAAATAATAAAAAAAGGCAGTTATGGGCTTGGACAGCATACAGTATGTCGCATTTTATTATCATCTTCGAAATTTATTTAATGTTGTCGTAATTTAAGCAGTCGGACGTGTGCTAACGGGCAATTAAGCGAAAAAATACGCAACGACCAGTCAAAAAATAACCATCACAACTATGGTACCTATCGCATCTTAACAAATGAGCTTTTTCGAATATTATTTATAACGGTTATGTCATAGCAATTCTAAATTAGATATTTTCAGAGTTTAGATGGGGATCTACAGGGTGTTCAAATATTCTAAGTTTCGCCTAATAATGGATTGCTAATCGTCCGATTATAATTCGTAATTGCAGAGATATCAGTGGAAATGTACTCTACATAAATAAGTCCGCCTACTGAAACAAAAATACTGAGTTTCTACCGGAGTCGACCGAATTTTTGCATCGCTTTATAAGAACCCTTAACCCTGTGATGGAATAACCCAACTTAACTGGATTGCAATGGACACTAAGTCATTTCAACCCGAGTTTTATATTTTCCAAATAGAACACAACAATTTTCGCATTCTGTATCTGTATTTTAAATAGATTTGTTAAGGCAAATCCTATCAGCATCCCGGTCTGATCCGGATTTACTAAGGCATTCTACGGAAGTCAATAAAAAATAGGCGAGATAGGTTGGTAGGACACCTTCTCAGGCATGAAGGTCTAGTCAGAGACATATTAGAGGCAGAAACAGGAGTAAAGAGGGGTAGAGGTAGACCTAGATTAGATTACTGTTCGCAAATAGTTAAGGATGTGCGCTGTTCTAGTTTTAGGGAAATGCGAAGTTTAGCTCAGGATATGAAAGAGTGGAGGTACGTGTCCAACCAGTCTTAGGACTGACGACCCTATGATGATGATGCACTTTTTTACTCCATGTCCTATTTAGACTGATGTGGCCCTAATGTGGATGTCCTATTCAAACCCTTTAACGGATGCCTGATCTATCCCTAACAATGAATGGAATGGAATCTCTTAACGCATACCTATCTAAATAAAAATTCTTAAATCTTAAATCTTTTCCAGGTCCCATTTGAAGTCAGGTATGCCAAAAAGGGTCCGTACCGCAACCCTAACAAATTTCCAGTCGGAGAGTGCACGAAATAACTCATATCTCTGATTTTAGGGCTGCAGAGACCAGAAACAAATTCTAACACTAAAATTGTCATGCTAAAATCCAGCTCGAAAATTTGGAAAAAGAATTAACCATTGAACGTTTCGAAACAAAGAGAGACCTAACTCTCACGGGCCACTGCTGACCGCATCGCATCCTGACAAATGATCCTTCTCGCGAAATATTATGCGCTAAATCATCATCGCAACGATGCGAAGATATGTACATATGTTATGCGGTGGTAAGTTTTAGTGTCATACGCTAATATATACAACAGGTACAGGGATGTGTACATGTATACACACAACATAAATGCATACATACTAAGATAGTGTTATTATAACCGAACGAAGGGCTCTCTCCGTATCAAAACTGCTTTCTTCTTAATGCTGCCCGTTCGGTCATAAATCGTATCCTAATTTAATGGACATGTCGTCGCGAATTATTTATGAATGTTTTCCGAGGGTTGTAAAACATAAGTAGCTATTAGCTGCGAGCCATTCTCTGCTGTTCGTGGATGTTTGCCATTTCTTGTACGTACACGTTTATAAATACATATATGGGTATATTTCGTCTTAACATGAGTTAAAGGTCTCCAAGGAATATTCTGATAACACTTAAATCACAATCAAGGCAACACATTATATGGAATCGGATTAACACCATCTTAAAACTTGGTTATAATTATAATAACATCGGTTATGACGACAACTATGATGTAACGAGAATTTTTAATATCCAAATCAACACTGACAACAAATTCGAATCATCATCAGAAGGTCGTCAGTCCAAAGAATAGTTGGACATGGACCTCCACTTGTTCCTAGCGTGAGCTAATCTTCGTATTTCCCTAAATCTAGAACAACCCCCCTCCTTAACTATGTGTGAACAGTAATCTAATCTAGAGAAATGCGAAGATTAGCTCTGGATAGGAAGGAGTGGAGGTAATGTCCAACCAGTTTTAGATCTGACGACTGTATGGTGATGATGATGAATTTAATCTAGGTCTGCCTCTACCCCTCTTAACTGTTACTTCTTCCTGTAATAGTCCCTCGCTAAACCATCATACCTGAGAAGGTGTCCTACCTGGCCTATTTCTTATTGACTTCGAAATATAAAGTCATATTTTTATTGCTATAAATCCTTGAAACGGTTGTATTATTGCAGGTAATACTTTGGCCAGTTGGCACTTCGGTTAACCAAAAAGCCGTCTAATACCCCTAATTGCCTTTGCTAGCATTTACGTCTACTTGTATTTGCAACTCAAGGTAAACTCCATCGTTTTTCTCAGTGGGAGCCTTACCCTTAGAGAACGCGTCCTTGGGTGGCGGATAGGGGAATGCTTACTAGCCCCCTTGGGGACTACAGAGTAGGAGGGAAACAAAATACCTCCCGCAAATTAAACAAGGCGGAGTGAAAACTGGACACACTGGAAGTAAAAGTCCATGGTTACGATGAGTGCTTAGATCGGAGTACTCATTAGCAATGGAAAAGGTCAACGATGGCGCTCAAGTCTTCCAAGACGAACACGACCTTGGTGTCAAGTGGTAAGCGACCATAAAACATATAGGCAATCCAACTATACCAATCATGATGCACAACGCAAACAAGAAAATAAGGAAAAATGTTAGAGCGTCCCCCTTTAGAGACGATGATGACAGGACTGCGATAAATGCTAAGGAGTACTCCTAAAGGAGAACACCAAATGGAGTAGGAATAATATTGAATCAATCTTTTAGCCGAAATTTTATTAAAATAACTAAGGGCAAGGTATGCATGTCAGCTGTCAGATCAGCACTGATGTACGGATGTGAATTTTGGCCGACCACAAAGATCCACTAAGTGATGTTGCGCACTATCGAAATTCAGCGGCTGAATAGTTGGAGTTACCATCCAGAAAGACGATCATTTTTACAAAATAAACAAGGTATAGTGATTATCCTGGATTTGAGAAATACATCAAATTTGATTAACAATGTGTAAATCATCATATAATTTTACCAAGCGGAAATATTTAATAATAGAGGTCTACTTTTGTAAGTAACCTGATATATTTTCCATTATCTTCCCCTTGAATTTGGAACTAAAAAACGTATCTCGAAAAAAAGTTGATTTGTTTTTTGAAACGTTTGTCTAAATTTAAAACAGTATTCATGTTTGAAATTTTTACGTGAAAACTAACAGAGCAGAGAAGCAAAATCACGTCAAGTAGTTTAAAAGAAGGCGGCAGAGAAGCAGGACGTAATTACGTCAGCAATTAGCTGCAACCCTAAATAATTATCCATTTCGTCGCCGGAGGGGGCAAGTAGCCCTGTTCGGTAATTAAGGAATATTAATTGGAACAAGAACGTCACTCGTCTGATCTCCTGGATCGCGCTTAGTTCCTTGATCTTTTACAGCTCATTTGCATCCAAGAATTAGGAAATTCATCTTCCGCCAGTTTTGTTCTAATGTCAAAGGGACGATTACTTCAATGATAAATTAAAAATCTTCCCCAGGGCGGCGAGCTCATAGAAAAGCTCATATTTTTCAGACACCTTCCTTACCGCGAGCAAGAAACTTTTCTAACGTCACGTTAACGCTAATTATAATCTTTTGCCCATTCAGCAAAATATTCCCTTGGACTCATCGTGAATTTTCCTAATACGCGCCATTTTCAAACAATATCGTATTAATGTAGTTAACGCATGTGGTGTTATAGGCGGATGATGAGAATATCGTGGGTAGAAAAGGTTAGAAATGAAGAGGTATTGGAAAGAATAGGAGAACAGAAGACTCTATGGAAGTCAATAAAAAATAGGCGAGATAGGTTGGTAGGACACCTTCTCAGGCATGAAGGTCTAGTCAGAGACATATTAGA